CTTTGAAGAGACGACTATGCCTCGACTGTTCAAGACGACGCAGTTCCGGATCGACCGCGCTCTGAACGGACAGGAGAGCGATGGGGATATTTTGGGCACTGGGAACTTTCCTTCCACCAAGCCATGAGCAATTATGATAGTATTTTTGACTGTATATATTCGCGTACATATTTCACCCAACCTTGTATCATACTGCAACTGGGAAATTTATTTAAGTTTATAGTTTTATCTGCAAGACGAATGTGAGAAGCTAGATCACACCCATACGGGTAGTTATCTTCTTTTAGTTAACCTGCCGCACGCGCTTCTGACCCAGCCGGAATCCAGTGTCTTCCCACACGAGTTCCACTTCGGGTATTTGCTCACCCGAGGACGCAGGACTGCGATCATACTTTCGCTCCTCGCGAATCCTGATCCACTTGGTCATGGGCGTGGAATCATCACCAATCTCATCACTTGTCTGGACATCGTCCGTGTCGTGTCCTGCCGTAATGAGCATCTGCAGCATCTGCCTAAGCAGCTCAACGTCTACTGCATCAGTGCTCGTGTCGGATGGAAGCGTGGGCGACATCGGTACTGTACCAGAAGCGAGATCCTTATCCCGCTTATTGACGAGGTTGATGCTAGCTTCGAGCATGGCCAGATCTGGCCACCACAGGTCGAACTGGTACATCTCTCTGAGACTATCGACGACCGTCTCTCGCCAGCCTACCGAGGGTAGACGTGAAAGATGATAAACAATTTCCCAGCGTTCTCTATTTGGCTGAGTCTCCGGGGTAAACCCGATCCAGTACACCTGGGTGATATCCCAGACATCAGGATGATCCGGACTCACTTCGAAATGAGAGGATGGCATTAGCTCACAAGCTCGCTTTGCACCACGGGCGCGCAAAAGCCGCAGGACTTCTGGTAGTCCGGTGTAAGCCTCGGCAGCGCGCGTCGGTGGTCCTTGGCGCGGATCGTACACCGTCTGGGCCGCGAGCGCACGGGCTCGTGGGGCCCCTGGACTGTACGCCGCCAGAAGATCGAGATGCATGTGTCGGCTTCGCTCTGCTGACGAAATAGCGCTGTCCAGGACGGTAGTATGGTCTCTCGGGTTTACCAGATTGTTGATGGCCTCGTCGAGTCCGACATCTAGTAGGAGGGAGGTGGTTTTCACTCTTCCTGCCATCGCCGCCGTGTTGAGGGTGAGGATGGCACCCTTGTGCGGAAGGTAGTGCTTTTTGTACGCCTGTGGGATACTACAACCTTCAAGATCCGCCAGATGTGACAGTAACCGATGAATAATATCATGGCTCTGCTGGTCGCTGAGAGTCTTGTTGTTGGCTAAGAGGCAGAAGACATCCTTATCCTCTCTGGTCCGGACTCCGAGATCGGCTCCCTTGGAGATCAGGTAGAACGCACGTTGTTCAGGATCCTGCGTGACTTGGTTCGTGTCCGCGGCTATCAGCAGAGGAGTAAGGCCTTGTCGATCGCCCAGATTCACGTCGGGTGGGGGATCGTGGGCAAACAGAATATCACAGGCGGACCGGAACTCTTCCTCGGTGTGGTATATAGTCACCAATAGGTGAAGAGGAGTCTCTTCGACGTAATCATTGCGGATGTCTAAACACTCCATTCGTGATACTATCTTCTGCAAGACGTAGAGGTATGAATCCGTGTAAGCGAGCCGTGGACCAGTGATTCTGGCCCATTGATGGAGAACTTGAGCGAAACAGGTATTAGCTCACGTAGGGTGCTCTACTTTGACCAGCAAATTACTCACCAGTATCCTTCGAAGTTCCTCGAGGGCTTTCAACATCCGCACCGGCATTTATCAAAGCGCACAATGCACCTCCGTTCCAAACTCCATCTTCTGCCGCTCTCACAACAGCCGTAGTTCGAGGATATATCCCGTCTCGGTCTTCAAGACTAGCGTCCGCCAGGGTAAGTGCGGCGACCAGATCTGTCATCTGATGGAGATGGCTATTCCAACTTCCATGTCGTATCCAGTAATGCCATGCCTGCCGTAGAGGACCATGATACTCTGGCTGATGGAAGGTCATCAGGTGAAGCATGTTTCTTCCACGTGCATCCTTTCCTTTGCCGTTCGCTCCTTTGGATAGAAGGAACTGTACTACTTCGAGGTCTCCGTACCAGCTGGCAAGACCTAGGGCAGTGGTTGCATTGTCTGAGTCATGATACGTGGCATTGACATCAGCGCCGAGATCTAACAGGACCTCCATTGCTGGGATGTTACGAGCGAATGCTGCCCAATGGAACGGTGTCCCCATGGGTAGCTCGAAAGGGCTTATACGTCTTGGTCAGTATCCGCAGCATGTGAAGGTTATACAGTAACCAATGAGGACTTACTAATGAATTATGAAGTTTCTTCGTGCCGCGTATGCACCCTCCTCGGTTCTCTCTGGAACCATCAAAGCATTCACTTTGGCTCCTGCCTCCCGAACAAAGCGTGTCGCGATAGTTTTCATGGAGCATTCGGGGAACATGAACAGCCAGTGCAAAGCGGTAAGCTTGTCTCTTCGGGTCGCGATGGAGGAAGCTGCACCGTTGTTTAAAAGATAGTGGACCGTGTTTGTCTGCCCAGCTTGACAAGCCTTATAGAGCGGGGTTTCGCCATTGTCATTCAACACATCAACTGGCATGTTACAAACTTCCACGAGCCATTTAACAACATCGATGGATCCCAGTGCTGCTGCGACGTGCAATAGCGTATTGCCATTGATATCAACGACCCTCTTGTTCGTCGCAAGCCACTCTTCTGCTCGTTTCCTATCTCGAGCAACGGCTAGGACGGTCGGTTTACGCGTGAAGGAATCAACGCAAAAGCCACCTGCATCTCGAAACGCTTGTTTTGCGGTCTGCAGCTGCTCCTCTGTGACCGTCGACGATGGTGACGCAAAGAGGTATCCCTCAGACACGGCTTGAAGCAACCACTTATCTAGTGTGTGTTCATCGAAAGCCGGCGTCTGGCCATGGGCATGCATGACCTGCGCGTAGACTGCTCGAGCCGGCGAATAGCCACTTCTGGCAGCCTCAGTGATGTAGGTGAGCAGGCGATCAAGATACGACGGCTTGGCTCCCGTGATGCACTGAGCCATACCCAGCAGAACGTCACCGGCATGTCGCAAGGATTGGTCGTTGTGTGACTCGGCAAATTGCTGCTCCAGCTCAGCCAGAAGGGAGGGGTCCAATCGATACCAGAATCTGGGGCCTTGGTTGTGCGCCGGATCAATGATGCCAACATTAGTAGTGACCTTGCGAGTATCCTGTGCCACTGCTAGCCTGGTATTATGTTAGTAATCGCCAATCTTCGGAATAAAAGTAAAATCGGAATGGATATCTGAGTTTACCAAGAGGCGTATGCGGGAGCATCCAGCTTCAGCAGTTCAGGACTTGCCAGACTGCGTTTCCAGGGATCCGTTGCCAGCAGCTGCCGGAGAGCTTTGCTTATTTGCATCCGAAGTGGACCAGTGATGGTTGCATCTTCTCTCAGCATAAAAAGGGCAACATCAATTGGCTCTTCTCCAGGCATCTTCAATTTGACTGGCTCACCACGATTGATAAAGGTGGATAGGATGAGTAATCCCAAGCTATAGGAATCGAAGCGGAACATAACTTCCGGGTTGAAAGCATCGCCCTGCCACCTGGAGTAATCGCTAGCTTCAGGAGCCCGCCAGTCCTCGGTTCCATAATAACTATCGATGGTAAGCTTATCTTCCGGGGACTCTAGATCGACGCAGACCCCAAAGTCGCTGATCTTGGCGCATAGCGGGACTTTCTCATTCCCTGCAGAATCTTTGTAGATTAAGATGTTGTCTGGTTTGACGTCTCCATGGACGATATGCAGCCGGTGCAGCGCCTCAAGTCCTGACACTGCATCTAGCAAGAGCTGATACTTAACATCCTGAGGATGCGACCCAAGTAACCTCTCGTTATCAATTTTGAGAAGGTCGGTAAGCGTCATCAGCGCCTCCTCCACGAACAAAACTGGCACTGGGGTATCGGGATAAGGGTAATCGTATCCCCAGGCGACGAGTTTTGCAATGTTGCGGTGGTTCCGGAGGTAGGGGTCGGATAAAGCGAGTACTTCCAGCTCCAAAGACCGTAGTCGTTGACGATAGTCCGAGCCGGACGCAAAGCTGGAGTTTCCTTCACGGGACAGAAACACTTTGACGCGTTTGATCACCAACCCTTCGTTGCCAAAGAATCGGCCTGGGATATCCTTGTATACTGTAAACTGTCCGCCACTGCCAATCTTGACCGCGCGGCGCTTGAGATTGTAGGTTTGCAGATGACGAGGTCCATGGATGCCGGTTCGCGACAGGATGCTGGTGAAGTCGGATACCGAGGTCATCAGGGCATTCTCCCCATTCCGCACTGCAGTCACTCTTTCCTCTAGGAGATCGGTGGATGATAAACTGTTTCCATCATGATATTCTTCGCCGTCAACCAAGCTCAGCGGGTCGAGATCTGGGGGCTCGGATGTGTTGTCGAGAAGGTCGTCGGGAGGAATACTGGCTCCGCTATCATCCATATCCAGATCGATGGGGTCCAATTCATCAATGCCATCTTCATCGAGAGTATCGAGAGCCTCCTGCAGTAGTGCAGCGCTATCGTCGTCGAGTAAGTCCATGGTTTGAAAGAATAGGTGGCTGAGTCCAAAGAGTCCTCTTTCGTTACCAGGATGAATTGTTGACGAGAGCGGGATGGACTTGCCATCCTTGCCGTGTGCATCGCACTCATGACTCCCACTAACGCTAGTGCTGACACTATCCCCACTCATACGAGGCAGTGGCTGCAGCAGATTGTAGCTATTCGCCGCGGGGTCACGAGCTATAGTCCAAATAATTTCTTATAACGCATTTCTTTTCCCTTGTTCGATCAGGTTGGTTTACCCTTCATTAACTAGTTTGAATTCAATCCCTAATGCATGTAGACACCCGGTGCAACTTCTGCCACCAACTATCGTAAGCTTTCATCGTGAGACCGTACTCTCCCTAAAACCCGCAGAGCGACAAGATTAGCTGGTTCGAGCCATCCTCCCAGTAAACATCTCCGCAGTAATAAAAATACCCCTGCCCGAGCCTGGCCCCTGCCCCCGCAGCCTGGGTCTCATCCACGCGACTCGGCGCAAAAACATGACTTTGAGTTACCGCGCCCTCAATCGGAACATAAACCCTTTCCTGGGACCCGGCGTCCTTGACATGAAGCACCTTTATGCTATAGGGTTCAGGAAATGGAGATGCCTCAATCCTTTCTGGCAAAAGACCCGACGGATTGAGTTGGACTCGGTAAGGCCTTCGTCCGTTATGATGATTACCTTGAAGGTGGTCGCATGAATGGCACTGAGCGCGGCGGATGCGAGCTCAACGCTCAAAGATAATCAAGAATGCGTGTCTCATCTTGTTGACGTTGTCCTCAAACTTTCTCGTTGCAAACCGCTGGGAAAGCGGGGAGTGGCCGCAGGACGGGTGAAGGAACAACAAAGTAACCAGCAGAAATACAAAAACAAAGTCAATGACTACTAAGTAGTAAGTTAACTAAATTGAAGAGTTTACTCAGAAACATCCTGTCCGGCTGTCGCTCGGGCCGCATTTTCTGAAGTTGAGACCAATCAAGGAACCCGCAGTGGGGACAAAGCTGCTTTTGTAGTATCAACTCCAATGAACCTTTAATTATCGGTCGGGTATGCACCCTAGTTTCACCCCACCAAGTCATCGCAAGAATAGGAAACTCGTGCAGACCAAACAGCAGCCACTAACCCCACCATTAGGCCTGCTGCGGAAGCGGAAATGATTAAACCCTTTTTAACGGGGTTGGAATGGGTGTACTGTGAGAAGGGTCGAACTCGTCGCGACCGACGGTGTGGTAAATGTGACAGGTCCTTCTACCAGCTTATGACTTTGCTCTACATGAAGCCATTTGATTCGCTCAGACATTACTTGTTATATCATATGGAATCTGGGTTAACTTTCTAGTATTTTGATTATCGTGGGAAAAGATAGTTTCTACTCCTCGGACCTATTAGTAGTGAATATATTTCGTAAAAAGGTGTGAGTAGAATATAGCAGCATTACATTTGACGAACAGAGCAACACCATTAAAGGTATAATAAACTTTCTGCAGTCTGTTTTCACCTGAATACGATGACCGTCACTCATGATCTTCCTAACATTTTCCCTTCAAAGCTAGGATAAACCTGTTTCCAGTATAGCTAGGATGCAGGGTTCCTCACGTCAGCGCTAGGCCACCTGTCAGACCCGCCGACATGACTCGTCTCGGGCCCCTGCGTGGTGGCTCTGGCGGCAGCCGGCATATTAATACTTGCTAGTTGCCTTGCTGATCTACTGTTTCCTTTGGTAAACACTAAGATATCATACGAGACTGGCCAAAATGGATGTCTATGGCACCGCAGTCACTGCAGTCCAGCAAGTCATCCAAGTGACCATCTTCATCAAGGGCGTCATTTCAGACGTCAAAGCCTACGACGATGATCGGGCCGCCATTCAGCTTCGATTGGACCTGCAGCTAACATCGCTGGAGTTCTTCCAGCGTAGGTTCTTGGATAAAAAGCGCGGTCTTCTGCTCCCAGGACAGCTTCCCGACTGGGTGGGAGAGACAATATGTAACCTCTTGCTGAAGATGGGTCGCGTATTGGTTGAGTATCGCGTTCTGGTAAAAGAGTATGAGATCTTGGATGCCTCGACTGCGGCTCTGGACCACGGCGACGATGCCCTGCCGAAGGGCGAAAAATGGAGACAGTGTTTCCTCGATCGGACAAAGGCCAAAGCCAAGGCAATCAAGCTGAAAGGGTACGACTGGGCGCTGTTTGATAAGAAGAAACTCCTAGGTGTCTTGGCCGAGTACAAAGAGTGGACCGACAGTCTGCGAGATCTGATGCAGCACTTCTCTCAGGAGGCCTTGTACACCCTCACGGATGGCTCCGCAGCGAAGTCGCCGCCAGCTGCGACCGAAGTGCAAGGAACAGGACTAGAAGAGGTGGTCAAGCGACAGCAACTAGCATTCCTGCATGCTCCAGCTGATTTTCGAGAACTCGAGGGTACCATCACTGAGTCCGGCAGTGCATCGGATGGATTCCACTTGGGTTCGTGGACTCACCAGGATCAATCAACTCCCGTAGTCCTGGAATTTCGCCCCTATGATCGTCGTCTGCGATATGATGATATTGATGAAGAGGAGATCGCAGAATTGAAGGCGCCACTGCGAGACCTGGCTTGGCTCCTTCAAAATGCCACGTTTTCTGAGGGGAAGGGGACTGCTGAGATGTCACAACCAACGATCTACTCCCTCCAGTGCCTGGGATACAAGGATGATGCAGAGAAGGAGCGGACAGTCTTTGCGTACCGACTCCCACTTCATGGTACTGACGATAAGTCGATCGCCGTGCAGAACAGCCTGACGACCTTGCACAGCTTGATTAACCAAGTTGATCCTCAGACCAAGCGGCCCACAAAGCCATCGCTTGAGGATCGTTTCGCCATCGCGCACTGCCTCGCACTAACCACTCTCAATGTACACGGCTCGCTCTGGTTGCACAAGAACATTTGGAGTCGAGGTATTCTTTTGTTTGAGCAGACCCAAGATAATGGCATTGAACTCATGTCCAAATTGTCCCTCGCTACAACCGCAACGTCCAACAAAGGCGGACTACGAAGACCGCGCCTTCTCGCATTTCTCAGTGACTGGGGTTATGCCCGCCCAGTCGAAGGAGCGACTGACATGCGTAGTGACTTCGAAATTGAACCCAACCTTTACCGCCACCCCAACCGTCAGGGCGCTCCCACACACCATTTTTCCCGTCTCCATGATATATACGCGTTAGGGGTGGTTCTGTTGGAGATTGGGCTGTGGAAGACAGTGTCTCGCCTATTCGAAACACGCATTAAAGAGGCCCAGCGCACTCGCAAACTACCCAAGGCTCGCGACGTTTGTGCTGCGTTAACATCGCTGGCCCAACGTGACCTACCCAAAGAGATGGGCAGCTCCTATGCCTCTGCAGTTGTGGCCTGTCTTACTGGCGACTTTCGCAGGGGGAGTGATCTGGAACTTTCTCTGGACTTTCGCGCGAAGGTGCTGGACTGCGTAGCCGAGGGATTGCGGCTTTGACCTGAAGCCAAATTCTGTCTTTTTAATCAGCACCCTACAACGCAACAAAAGACCATATGATCATCATTCCCAAGTTTACCACATATATTAGATTAGTTACCAATCGAGGTCGATATTAAAACTAGCTTTTGCACTTGCCGTCTACGCTCGTTGTCCAATATTAATATAGTTGATCCTTGCTGCCGACTACCTTCCGAACAAATTAAACAACATCAGACATGGTTCCTCGCGACAAAAAAGGTGTATCTAGAGAACTTTCCAGCAAATGTTTGAGTGTGTGCTTTCTGATAAAGATTGCATTGATGCTACCGAAGCTATGCGATCATCGTGGTAGCAACTGGCCCTGTTTGATCCTCAACCTCGAACCTGTCCACATCCCCTCCCAGGATGTAGTTCCCTTTCTCGATCTCATCTTCACTCGGTCGCTCATCAAACGAGCACAGATAATTTCCTCCCTCCGACCATGTGTGTAGGTTCATCCCTTTGAGGTCGCCTTCTACATCACCCCAGCACCACCACAAGACCTCGCATCGACCATGGTAGACTTTGATCTCGAACTCCTCCCCGGGTGTAATATCTTCCGGACGAAGTGTAGAATGTTTGAATAGCCGATCAAGTGGTATTTCATAAGGTACTACAATGTCCGTACCATCGGCTGGGATGGTGAGGAGGCGGTACCCTCTTTCGGACAAACTTGGCCCTTCAAAGTCGTCACAATAGCGGGGTCTAATGATACCAAATTTGATCGTCCGCTGGGGATTCTGTCTGGAGGTGAGGCCGGGCCCAAAAACGCCGACCTCTAAACCCTCACCTGCAAACACTGACCGGTCGGCAGCGATGGTAACTGACCGGCCGGGGCACGTGGAACGGATGACGCGGGCGTGGACAAACACCTCCAGAGAGTGAGAAGAGGAAAGCGACAATGTCGGCGAGCTCGTGGTTACGGTGAGGGCGACTGTCACTCCGTCATCAGCGGAAGGCGAGGCCATCAGGGGATTGACGCAGAGAGTAAAGTTGGCTGAGATGGGCAGCAAGAAACTACAAGCGGGATAGTTGAAAGAGTGAATTGATTATGTTAACCAGGAGGTTGGGTGTTTAGTTAGTTAAGAGAGGGGCCTGCGACTTTCTTGTCAGCACCGTCAGCAGCAAAGTGAGAAAATCTAGACCTACGAAGTCACTGGTTTTCAGCCTTGTGCGCTAACGTTCGACATGCCATCTTCGTTCCTACATTGGTGGATATGGCTCCCAGCCCTGCGAATTATACACGCTTTAGTCTGACTATTTGGGGGCGCTTTGCAAGGCTACAGCTGCAGGTCGATTGAGCGCGTAAAAGATCCCTCTCACTGCCCGATTTTCGATCTAACCATATGTTTCACCCATGTCATTCAGAATCGTCCGAGGGAGTCTAGTAATATATTCTGTTTTGTTTTGTTTTCTTTTTTTTTTTCTTTCTTCTAGGATAGTTGAAAAAACTGCCTGAGATTGTCACCGCTATAGTAAACCAGTAATCCCCATCGATTCTCAACATTATATGGATATATAATGTGTAATGGGACGGCTGACTGCTGGCGCCGCTCCCGAAGAATGCGGAAACGGATAAATGATGAATTGTGAGGACAGGAAGAAGAATGGAATCTTCTATTCCTTCCTTGCATTGGTCATGGCCTGTAGTTATTGCTGATAATTACTGTTGTATTCCTATTCCAACGGTGTATCCTCACGTGAAATAGATCAGCATTTATCTCTCATATCCACTTCTGATTTGACATTGTGGAGATTAATACGGAGTAACGAACCGTAATATGGAGGCCCAGGTTGCAAGGGATGTGCCAATTAGGAAAGGATTGTCAAACTTCGTTTGTGTCAAACCTAACAGAGAAACCCAAAGACATAGGCCATGCAATAGAGGAAAATAAAGCCATTAGTTCTGCATATCGCAAGCTCCTTCAGCCGTCAGATGTTTGATGCGTCGACATGATTTAGTTGGACTCCATACGGAGACTATCGCTTCTATATGAGATCATTTACCCCTTTGCCATGTTAAAACTATGGGAGAAGGTAATTCGGGCCTATTAGAAGACTCGGTAGCACAAGTAACCTGGCAACACGGCCAGACTGATTGCCACATTGGCTGTGTTAGTAACGATGGCTTCTTGGTCTTCCGTGTCCCCATGCAACAGTAAGGTGGAACCTTCAGAACACGTCGTTCCTCACAGCAAGGAAGTAAACTTTATGAAAGCATAACTCGGACGCGAAGCGTTTCTGCAAGTGGACGGTTCTCAGCCACGCGAATGACAGGGATCCAACGCAACGCGCAGGATCTACGCGTCTCTCGCACGGATTCTGGACTAGACCGCCATGACGGGAGAAGCTTCGAGAGAATAATTCTCACGCATTTGGTGTGTCACAGGACAAACGAGGGGTCAAAATGCGCGATCAATGACACTTATCAGAACTTGCGGATATAGAGAATACATATCATACACGAGGGTTGACGTTTCATAGAATGTCAAAGGACGATGAGAATTGTTTTGGGAATCCGGCCGAGACAGGAGGGAGTTCGGCCACTCCTCTGCCGCAGCTATTCATAGTTTCTGCAATAACTTGAACAGTCTCCTAGTGGATCGGATCTGTCACACACGCGATATGATAGTATCATCAGTGGCAAAGTTTCAGTAGAAGCCACATAGCGGGGATACTTGTTCCCACTGACCTGGTGATTCGCTTGTCATTGCTGGACCCGACCGCGGACAAGGCAGCTCGGAACCCTAAATGCGCATGGACGGCAACCACGGTGGATGCATCACTTTCCATCAACGGAAAGATTGGATGACGCCCTTGCATGGGTTCTTCAAGGCAGGCTATAAGTAAGGCCCCGGATGGAGTGCCATGTGGCGATAAGTTAGGTTGTCACTTTAGATGTACCAGAACCAATCCACAGCTTTAGTATACAACATGGGAGACCACAACGGCTTAGGCAGCCTGCCGCGTCATGTCGATCGCAAAGCCCTCTATACAGATCTTGAAGCTCGCGTTCGCTATCTGCAACAGTTTATTGGCTTCACTGCCGGTCAGTCATCCCGGATCTCGTGTTTAGATGTCTCCGCTACCAAGGAAGTTCGTACTTAATCACTGATACGATGATCCAGATGATGCTATTGCACTAAATAAAGGAGCCAAATACATCAAAGCACTAGCACCCACCCTTGTCGATCGTGTATACTCCAAGCTCCTGGAGGCAGATATTACAGCCCGTGTATTCAAGACCCGCAGCACAACGTCGGAGGAGGATCTTGACGAGTATCCCGAGTTCAAAAGCCCCTATATACAATGTCGCCGAATGTTCCTCCGCTGGTACATTACTCGAATATGTTCTGATCCGACCAAGATGGAATTCTGGGCGTACCTCGACAAAGTCGGGTAAGCGTCGGACTGGTTTGACGATCTGGATCTGCCAACTGACAGCTGAACTAGGCGTATGCATACGGGGAAAGACCGCATGATCTCCTTTGATGTGGAATACATACACATCGGCGCGTGTCTCGGGTATATTCAAGATGTGCTCATCGAAGGAGTCATGGGGTGCGAGAAGATGTCCCTCCCCTTTCGGGTTGCGCTGATCCGTGCACTGGGGAAAGTGATCTGGATTCAGAATGATCTGTTTGCTCGATGGCGATGTAGGGACGGTGCCGAGTTTGAGGCGGAAGTTGAAGCGGTCCATCGAGATCAGAAACCGACAACGAACGCGACTAACGTCAATGCGAAGACACGCGATCAGCGGGATGAGGAGACAAGCAGCGTACGGAGTAACTCATCTTTTCGGGCAGAATCTGCTAGCATCTTCTCCGATCGTCAGTCGACTGCACGCACATCAATCAGCATTGGGACACCGCAGGTGGCCACGGATTTTCCTGCTTGCCCGTTTTCATCCGACTATGCGCCGTCGTACGAAACAAAGGTTTGGTCTGATACAGAGTCTGGTCGCTGCTCTCGGTGACTCGAGAATATAATGGTAAGCAAGAAGAACAATTCATGGAGACCTACATGTACGCACGCAAACTACTTTACAATAGAATGCCTCTACCACCGAATTATGTATATACCGAGCAGCATAGCGTACATATCATCGGTCTGTCCTTATAATGCTATTTAAACGACGTATTGCAAGAACATGTTCTCTCATGCCAAAAATTGGGTAATCTGAGAAATAGGGAAGCCTCCACAGTATCAATGCATAGTATCAGGGTCGTCTCGAAAACGCACTATATCAATATGCATGGGAAGAATGTACACCCGGGTATTGATTGGTAATTTCTCCACGGTCGGGGCTACGCCAAGGTTGAGTAGGAGACCCCAAACACCGACCACCATTAAAGTAGAACTTCTTATATACTCGAAAAATTAACAACATCTGTACAGGGAGAATATAAGTCATACTACGATACTCTACAGCTCCACAATTCAGCTCCGGTGGCGCAATCACGGTTTGACAAACGTCAGAAAGTCAAGGCTCAGGTCAGTGAAGAAGCTGGCGCCCGCGACCGGGTTAGGGGCATCTGCCACCGTCACATTGCAATAACCGTCGAAGCTCCCCGCAGCCTTGGTCTTCTTCCCGAGAAGGGATATATAATCAGACAATAGACAACTACGGCCTGGTCCATTTTGGCAGTGGGCGATGGGGTAGACTGCGTCGTTGAACCGTACGCGGACATAGGTTTTGTCGTTCATTCGGCGTCGAGACTCGACTTCGCAGCTCAACACTTCAAAGGCAACAGTGCCCCGCATAGTGATCCAATTGGCAACATTATATAGATGGTGGGCGGGGAGCTGGTCGATAGGTAGGGAGGGCTCGTCATCGAAGATGCCCATAGCAGCGGTCATTTCCGCGATCTGATTGTCATTCAAGAAGGCCATGATCAGGTTGGGAACGGTGAAGTTACCACCATCCGCATCGGTTCCAATCTGACCGGGACCCTTGCTTAAGAGGTCCATTAGGCTGTTCAGAAAAGGTAAGAATAGTACCTTGGACGGGCCGACGGAACCAGGGCCGACTTTGTAGTAGTAACTCAAATCCTGCGAATAAGCGTAGTTGCGTAGCTCATCCTCGGTGAACACGCTGCACCAGGGGCTCAGACGTCCGGTTATCTGACTTTCATACCCGCACATATAGGGGAAGAAGAGGATGTCGCTCTCGTCGAAGGTGAGGTTGCCACTGACGAGGGAGTTGATGCGTTCGAGCGCCTGGGGAGTCCAGGTAGCGTCGACTGTCACGGAGTTAGCCCGGTCGCGCGGGTGGAGTTCCTCCGAGACTTACAATCGGTAACATTGTTTCCCCCACTAGAAATTGAGGAAAATGCAGGACACATATCGGAGGGTCCTAGAGAGTTGCCGATAGCGCTGACGGAGCCGGTTGAGTTCACGCTGACCACAGTACCGTACGTGTCGGCATACTCGTAGAGGTACCCATTAACGAAGGCACGGGCGGTCTGAACGACTCTGGACTCGTTTAACGGATACTGGTAAGCATTCGCCCATGCATAGAATGGCGTTCCATCTTCGTAGAAGTGGGGATCTGTCATGTCGTTAGCCACGAATGAACATGAGCATGGGGCTGCAGTCTTACATCGGGCCCGTAGCTGGTAACCCAGATCGGTCGCCTACACACAGTTAGTGTTTATACCATGTTGATGTTCGTGAATGGGCAGGTACCTCCTTCCATCCTGTCATTGACTCTTGAGACATTTGGAGGCTTGGATTTGTCAAAATTGGAGTCCATTCTGGGATGAAGGCCAGTGATCCGCGGGCCTCAAAGCCGGTGCTATTGACGGCAGCTTGGATCTAGTATCGGAGGTTAGTATGAATTGCAGCGCCTTGACACATTAATGTGACGGAGATAACAGACCTTCTCCTTAATACCAACCCATGATTCATAGGAGCCAGAATCTGGGAAGCTACAGTTCAAGCTTAGCGCTCAAGGACCTGGGCGCAGTACGTCGTGGAGCACTTACCGGCTGCCGTGCCTCACGACATACGCCGCTTGCTGGACCGAGCACTTATCTGGGACGCTACTGTCGATACCGAAGACATTGGGACCTGGGAATACAAATAAGGACCACTATCGCCGCAGAATGTAAGGAAAAGGTTTCGTACCAGCGAAGTAAGGGCTATTTCCGCCGGCATATTGCAGTGGGTTTTGGTTTGTCGGGGTCGACGGGGATAAGATATCATTAGCGGGAGCCAGGACCTGGGCATTGCTTCCGCTAACCACTATCAACAACCATAAAGAGATGACCGACGGTCTGAATGATTTCGCCATGTTGATTCGATAAAGCGAAGACTTGAGAACGATGGAGCGAGTAGCGTGCCTTTCAACGGTTCAGGGGCGAGGAGGACTGTTCAGGGATGTATAGATAGCTTTATATGATTTTCACACCCCGGATGCACCTGCTGCTAGTACGTAGCGTCTCATGTCGTCGGAGAAAGACAGTTGGCGGTCGCGTCCGACGGTAAGACTAAGTACCCCTAGGAGTAGCGCTAGTGATGGAAGGTGCCTTGCCGTCCTATAGCCCGTCCACGTGCCAGAGGTATATTAAGTTGAAATCAAGCGAGACGAAGCGCCTTTTCAAAGTAATTTGGGGTTGTCCAGCGGGGCGGCCAATCGCATAAGATGGAGCACAACGTGAACACTTACTCCCGGGTTCAACTCGTAACTGCCATGTTCTGTTGTTCCACAACGAACCCCTTAATAGTATTAGTACTATGGCACGGCTACCTCCACGAATATTGTAAGAAATTATTGAAGCACTGTATAAAAGAGACAATAAAGTCTTCTCTCCTCTAAGACTTGACAAAATCTAGGTTAGACTATAGCGACAATAAATGTGCTACATCCAGATCAGTGATATAAGCAGAATGTGCCATAGAGCGCTGGGTTAAATTCAGACCATCAATCAACTGAGTCAGTATCAAGCATCCCAGAGACCAATATCTAATCTACAGCAAAGCCTGTTGATAGGTTATGCCCCTTGCGTCCTCTGCATGGTCTAGTAATTCCGCTAGTAATAAGCGCACCGTTTAGCAACTGTGATTGAATGGTCGCTGTCGCAATGAAAGACAAAATTGTCCCATGTACATGAGTAGTTTGCACTCCAGGAGTTCCAGTACGCTATGAGGGCCTGGCGCATAGCATCATCGTTGTTGCGGTCTACAAAGTAACGAGAATGAGTATTTTTGACCACCAGGGAGGGCTTATGGAATGGGATATTACCAAGTCGTGTGAGAGTATCGGCACAATAATTCAGCCCTGGGGCGCATGTGGCGGCGCTGGTAGCACCTGCAAAGGCCAAGGTAGTGAAGATTGGGATGAGCTTCATCCTGGGTGACGAAAAGCAATGGAATCTCGTATAAAGAGAAACTACCTCTTCATCTGATATTTATCTTCTTAGTGTGGATTGAGGTTGAGGATACCATGAGCATGAAGAGATTGGTGCTTTACGTATATACGGCCTGTGGAGATTAGAAGAGTATCCATGACTGTCTGGTGTTCGAAATATTTGATGCATGTGCGGGAAAAGGTCATTCTGCGAGACAGCGGTCGACAGTCATGGTGATACAATGACCGAGTAGCTGGAAATCCCGAGTGAGACAAAAAAGGTTTACCCTATTAGTTGTCTCATAGCGTGCTTTGACCACCATATTCGATCCTGTTGGATCCATCCATGAACTTGCAAGTAAAGGCTCGCATTGAAATATATACTTCGCCAGTTATCAGTCGCCAGTCATGGCCAAAAGAGCGTGAAGGCATGGGATGCGAACAGCCTTTCTCTAGAGATATGCAAGGTCCCTGGAGATTGAATACCCATATTCTTTGTGGAATTATCTCCAGCTTGGTCAACAGAAAGCCTTAGAGGATGTGAATATATACGGGTGATGGTTAAATGGTGACAGTGACCACCTGAGACCTTTATTAATATAACCGAGGACCGGTACCATGAGTACACACAATGCGGCTGCTTCGCTCTTATGGTAGAATGTCCAATGAAAGACTGCAGGCGGGACAATGATCCCTGGCAGTCCCAATCTTATCATCCTTATTCGGCCCGAGGGCACATATCTAGGGCTATAATCAGAGTTTTTGGCTTGCGAACACTGTGACTCGGAGTGTTCTTAGCCCAGTCAAGGCTGAATTGGCCATGACCGTATCATCATGGCTCATTGGTCTAGTGACTATGTTGCGGGCTTTTCTTCCAGAGGACAGGCTCAGCAAATCTCGTGAACTCAAATCAAGCGGCCAATTTCGCTTTCTTTTGATCCTTGGTTCGGTGGGTCATGGTTCTTACTTCCAGCTTATCCGTGTCGTCCGATGCATGACGAGACCTATTCGCGTCAGCTTCTGATAACTGCTTGGACCGACATTAAACTTTGTATAATGTACTGAATAGCCCTAGTGTAGCTCCACCTAATGGGGAGACCCATAACCCACTGGTATTTACCATTCGCGCGATCGAACGATCCTTTGTACAAAGTATCAATTTGGTCCGAAGATCTTACTACATGTATATTGCCCTGCATAAACACAAAAGCATTGAGCGGATAAAGAACATGGGGCGGCACATGATCCATGATTCCCCCACAGGGGCTCCCACAACTGCCATTGGTTGCTAAGTCCAGAGCGGAACTGGGCAAATTCTCTGTCCTACCCTGAGAATAGTCCAGACCAGTCTTTTTCGAAATTCAGCTGACGAGGTTCCCCGCACTTGGGGTTGTAGTTCATCCATCATCCTTCCTCCAACCGCGACACATTAGGTTTATGCACGCCGATCACCACACTCCTCGTAATACGTTACCTGTATATGGGTAGAGAACTATATCCAAGAACAATCACCAATGCCCCTTAAAATTATGAGTAGCTACGAACATAACTGTACGAAGAACATGCCTTTGCTGAGGGAAGTAGTTGAACTAGCATACTACATGCAGTCCAATTCTCTAGATAAGCGCGGTATTCTCCATGTATTCCTTCATCAGTCTTACAGCCTAACCTCAGGAGCCAGATACATACCAAGATATGTATTGAGTTGGCCCAGTTGTATGGTCTAAGCTTGGCCAGGGAGTAAGCACAAAATCAGGTTTAATTCATGCAAATTATTCCTTTGAGAACATAGATATTGTGGCCTCATTTGCCGGTGAATTGAGGTATATAATTGCTTATTCTGAGTTTTGATTGTGATAAAGGCCAGAGAATGGACTGGCTTTGAACCAGTTTTTGTGTGTCATGGATGGGAAAAGCAAAGTGATTAGGTGACGTAGGGCCTTCACCCTAGAGAATTCTGGTACAAACATCCAATCAGCTCTGTTATTTTCACTGAGATCTCAACAAAGCGTACTGGATTTGACTCCTGCACTTACCAAGATTACATACAGGCAAGGGCTTGGGTGAACTTGTGGTTATAAAGCCATTGGCAGGGAAATAAAATTCTATTTCATTGTAGAGATCATTATACTATAACATCAACCTGCTGTGACAATCGCGTTCTTCGTTGACGCGCAGCAGCAGCAGCAGCAGCAGTAGTACTAGTCAAGCCAAAGTTGTCCTCCTCTAGTTCATGGATTCAAATATAAAGTAGAAAGACCATATAGATTATAAACATGATCATTAATATTTTTCCCCCACTTAGAACATGTCGATTATGAGAGGTATATGTACAATGTATCTTGGGATTATGGTAGCATAAAATAATCAACTGAAAGTCCTACAAATGATTCTATAGATCTCTCAATATATCCCATTACAGGACACGGGGTTCTAAAGTCACAGCTACACCATTAGCCGAGATACAAAAATAACGAAATCATGTCCTGTGTATGATACTGGATGGGCAGCTAATCCGGGCAGGTGGCCTCCGTTGGCGGGAACTACCAGTTCTCTGTTTTAGGACTAGAAGTCATAATGCTTGACGCGATCCCTGGATGGGTACAAAGCATTATATAAGTATCGCACCAGCTCTGAGGCTCTTGGAATGAGGTCCCTGCGGTGCGGGGTATGGCATTTCTAGACGCAGGGGAAATTGAAATCCGCCGTCGCTTCTGCAAAGTGCTACATCAGAGCACGACTACCCGTGAGTTGATGCCTATTGACTGCCAGCCTATCCCCAGCCCATGTGCCCCGGGCATAGTGTTCTATAGGTTGACAAAAACGAGTGCTGCCCAACATTTGCATTCTTTCCATTTTATGTTTCGATCACTCGTTCACGTTATGGGAACATTCCAACGGGTTCATTGGGGGCGACCATACCGGCGCAACTATGATGATACTGGTAAGTCTTCATTCTCTACACCTATAGCGTGACTCAGTCACAGCAAAAACAGACCTTCACCCGAGGCTTATTGTAGGGTATGCAATAATGAAAAGACTATCACTTGCTCGCATTATATGTTTGCTTACATCGAGGCATAAGTCACCAGTCTTCTTCATATGCCCGTACTCCACTAGTCCTTGTTGAAAGCGTGTGCCCCTGACATGCCTTCCATCCACATCCCTAAAACCCTCAAAATATGGGGGCATATACACAGACGTCATTCTTGCCAGAGCCCTGATTGGCACACAGTTCATAATAGCCACACTCCCGCCAAGTAAGAGAATGATCATTGTTGCAATGGAAGATAAGGCTATACCATGAAGACTGATCGTTTGCATAACTGCCACCTCCACTGTTTTGTAAGGTCTGCGAGATAGCATTACTGTTGCTGGGGTCTGAATTGACAGAGCTATGAGTTTTATTCAATAGACCAGTAGGTTCTCGAAGGGCAAGCTCACCGACATCCAACAATACATTTGAACAGTAGTCCAAGCCTGGGGTGCACGTTGCGGCGCTCGCGGAAGCTGCGAATGCCAGGGCAGCGGCAGTGATGATCGCGGTCAACATCATGATGGTTGGTCTTATTCTGAACCTTTGGGAAACTTGGTTGTATTCAACGTGGAATGATTCGATGCTGCAACTGAGGGAAGACTGAATTCTAGGGTAAGTGGAGTGCAAATTGCTGAGTCGTGCCTCCCATATTTAAGCCATCCGCGAACAGCAAAAGAAATACTAATATGTATTGTTTAGGAAATAATCTTGGTAATAAGCGAGGAGAGCTTTCAGCAAACCCCGATGATCGACGATCATGGGAGCTCCTAGTACTATTTAGCTGAGCAGCTAAAGGTGCAGAGAGGCCAGCTGCCCTTGGCTAATGAGAGGTGTCACGCTGAACTACAGTCTTCACTATATTGTTGTGGCGTAATTAATGGCCTCCGAAAACATGCATCACTGTTAGTACATCAATATACGCATGTTGCTGTTGAACAACCTATTTGTCATAGGGAGCTCCTTTACTAGGTCTACAGGATCTGATCTTAGCAGTCTGAAATAATAAGATCGTCTTAATCATTATCGTTACATTTACCGAACTTACTAGAATAACGTATGAGGTCGACAGATGTCGATAATAGTCTAATTTGCCGCATGTTCAACATTTGTAACAGCATGCTTAGATTGTTACAGACGTTTAGTACATACAGCGTGCATTGAAGCGTTATATGAGGGTTGACTGCATGGGCTCTGACGTAGTACAATGGTCACTGCGGTGGGTATGAGGCATTTGAATCTTTAATCCGCATGGCATAACAACCAATGAAAGATTATGTGATAGAAATGTGATTAACATGGAATCCTACCCCCACCTACCAACAGAGTCAACTAGAGCATTCCGGCTGAGAGGGTCTTCCGACCGACCGAGTCATTTCTTATTGATCTAGAGGGCGCGGGAGATTGTTTTGTCTGATTGGCTGAGGAGGCGTCGGGACTGCAAACTAAGGAGTCAATAGGCTGTCTTTTGAACCATTAGTCCGTACCCGTCCACTCCCATCGGTCCTGGGAACAAGCAATAGAGAAAAATCGCAGAGCCCCATTTGTGGCCAATAGCCATCTAGTCTCTTGTATTTTATAGCAGATAGAACCCTGCTCTGTGAAAAAGAATGATAGTATACTGAAAAGTGAACTGCTTACTTATGTGACGCTACTGTAGCTGGCCCTTACTGGAAGCCCAAACTGATCGGCTGGAACCACGACATCGAGTATCTCCTGGACAAGGATTTGATTCGAAGATCCGAAGATACTAGTACATGAGGGTACATCCGTACACGCACATGAAGACCTTGGGCGCATGGTGAAAATTGCGCCGGACGAACAGGTCCATTTCCTGTTCCTCAACTTCGCATTAAAAGGCACGTTATCCGTGTCACAACAGAGGCTCTCACCACACTTCCTGTTTGCCTATTTGTGGGGAGAAACCTTTCGGGATCTCGGAATCTAGGATTAGCCCGAGCAGGTCCGTTCAAAGTGTGCAAGATTTGTTGCAACTATCCCAGCACCAGTATGCATAGAACATTCACCATCACACTCATCACCCCACAACGTTAGCGTCATGCAAGCAGATCCCGATGCAGGCAGTGTGATGAACGCGGCTTGGAAGTCTTGCTGAGGGCCAGGCTCACTCCTGTTCGCAAGTGCGGTGGTATCCTTGGACTTGCGAACCAGCAATCTTTGCCAGCCTCTGGGGCTATATACATGAAGAGGCTGGGGTAGGGTTGGCCCGAGATGATTGGCCTAAACTTGGTCGGGTTAGGCTGAGAAGGGTTGTCGCTCAATGTGAAGCTACTTGGTAAAAGTTTCGTCAAGCCGTAAGTAGAGCAATAACGTCAATCAATATGATTTGAATTTGGATGACAGACAGACCCGGTGGCTCGTTCGCCGGTTGCTGATATTGGTAATTGCTTTTTCTGGGTCTCGGGATAGCCGATTGGATGAGGAGCTAAAGAATAATGTCGCGTAAAACTGGTTCTGGACACTCAATACTACCAGTCGCATGGTGCATTACTGCTTGTTTATCGACAGCCATGTAATAGATTCGATAGGGCTTGTACGCAAGCTGGCTCTTGAAAGCTTAATGAGCACTTAGCTATGCCAAATCCACTGCCAGGAAAAGACAATAACAGCGAGCAGACGAACGTGTTCGTGATACGCCTACCATGACCACATGATCGCTTTGTAACAAATTCCAGAGCTACAGGAATGATTCGATCGGTTGATGGGTTGGATTAAATGAGTATCGCAAGTTGCCATAGGGTGAAGACAAGTAGAATTCTGTTGATATGAGGCTGGGAAATATGACGCTTTGAACCGATTTGCAACTACAATTCGAGACTTTTATTTCGATGGGTTATATATAGTGTGGTTTATGTCGCCAAAAAAGCAGTCAAGCAGATGATATGTCTATCAATACCTGTATCTGCAGCTGAATGGACTGTTTCGGAGATAGTATAAAATCATCGTCAAGCTAGCTAATCGTATAACGTTGACAACAAAGAATAACCACTGCCATGTGCCCCTTTATCTGATTACAAAAGTAGCCTTACACATTACGCGTCAGACTTTGATTAGGACTAGTCCAGCCACGTAGATATGCTTGAATTAGCTTTCTGCATTCATTACGTATCGTGAGTTGCAAATACTATCTGGCGGAAAAACTATATATGATGGTTAACAAGCCTCTTGTGATATCATGAAAGAATGGTCTAAACATTGATTCGCACTTGAGACGCTCGCTGGCGGTTGATTCACACGCTACAAAATGTCCCGAGACACATGCTGATACCAAATGCACGACTCCATCCCTATACCAAATTGATATCTGAATATTCAGTCTTCATCTTCATGTATATCAGTAATTGACTGTAAAAAGGGGAACCCCAATTGACATGTCTCAACAGCGCTTTTTTCCTAGCATCGTTTAGTCGAAAGGTGTCGGGGCACTAACTGCTAGACCAAAAACGTTATATCGCGTCTCGTCAGACTAGCGACGGATAGACTACTGTCCGAATAATAAGCATCGTAGGAAAGTACATGAATCCAAAATCTATCCACGCAGTCTGTCTAGGCTGCTGGTAAAGGCTACCACAAGAATCAGACATGACATATACGTCCTCATAGAAATGAGATTCTGAGCGTCGGTGGTTTGTAAATATTTGGAGCACGATCTAAGGACACAAGTTTCCGTACTACCATCCAGAATCATTAAATCCTCTCACAACAAGTATAAGTCTGTTGCTGATTCATTCTTAAATCCTAAATACACCACGTGGCCCAGTAGTTCCTCACGGAATCATTGTGTCTATTCCTGTCTTCATACATTCAGTATGAAACTCGCTAGTAGATACCGGCGATCTAACCCCAGAGACTGGTCCTGGAGCTGCAGTAATCACTTTGGCCCGCTCCAGCATTCACGCAGCCACCGGGACATCTCTGGACCTCAGTGATGGACTTGTCATCGTTGCAATGAAAGATTAGACCACCCCAGAGGCCGGGAGAATTGGAAAGCCAAACGTTGTCTGTGCGCTGCAGCTCTCGTTGTATAGCTTCGAAATTGCTACCGCCTATGATTTTCAAATTATAAATATCATCTCCACGAGCTAGAAGACCTTGAAAGGCGCCACTCACTGACGTCCGTCAGAACGCGTGTACAATAGTTCATGCCAGGCGTGCAGACGGCAGCACTCCCAGCGGCCGCAAAGGTCAAGGCGGCGGTAGTGATAGTGGCAATCAACTTTATGGTAAACTTTCCGCGATAAAACCGACGACCTTGTTGTTCTCGAGGTAGGAGGTAGGATAAATTAGCAAGGAAATAGGAACTGTGTTATGTCCAAGGTAGATTCAGCGAGATGAGCTCCTATTTATACCTCTTTAGGTCCTTCGTGGGTCATAGAATATCACGCAACAATGCGAGCACTGTTGGGTATCGACATAAGAAAGCACAAGAGCTGAACTGCATGAGGCCCTGTAATTATCCCTAAAATTTCGGCACTATCAAAATGGACAGCGCAATGCATTGAACAAGCAACCCTGTGTAACTATCTCTCAGGATGAGTCATGAGAGAGCCATCTGGCATTCTATTTCACACTTCATGCTTCGGTCTGTGGACTGTAACTGATTAAAAACAAAGGATTGAACACGCGCGTGGTGAAGCACTTTGCAGGATCATTCATCATAGATTGTAGGCTACATAGCCCACCAGGATGATATTGCAAAGTTGGTGCACCCTTTGGTGGCCAGCGTCCCATAACTGCATACACCCTTACCGTATCTTCCAACAGCTGCAGAAAGCTAATGCAAATACCAGTAGGCTACTCCGTACTGCACATAGGACGTGGCCACGATTACCCCGCATTCAGCCTTGCAAACCCCGAAGATGCTAACTAGCAAGGCTACATAATGAGGATCGGCTCATATATTCTCGCCCAAGATTAATTCCGTCGTATTCAGCCGTCCCGCCTCTCAGATTGCCAACTTAGGGATGTCTTAGGTTGCAACCATTAGGGCTGCTGGCGGAGATATTCGGAGATTCAACTTGCTCGTCTTGGCTCTCAATGACTGTTTAGCTTATCGAGACAAACATCACCGAAATCACAGTTACCAGTGTGCCTAGAAAGGACTTCCGGCGTCTTTACTAATAAGTCATGACGCATTTTTGAATGACCTTGTTATAATGAAGGAAGAGTAATATTCCATTAGATACAAAGGCTGCCCAATGCAGCTGATATAGATGAAATCTATCCCGCATAGTGACACATTTACGTACCTAAATAATGGTGCTATGACAGGGGTTTAATAGATATAATAATACTGGAATTAGATGGTATTCTGACGGCTCGGTGCGACTAAATGACTACAAGATGTCATCTGGAATGACGAAAAATTGATGAAGGTAAGTGTCTTGAAAGCTCGCCCTTACCTATGCGAGGTGCGAGTTTTCCTTTGTTTAGAGCGAGTGTCCGGACGAAGTATCGAAGTTATACACGGTTTGTCAACGCTTTAACCTTGGCTTGCACAGCGAAGTTCTCTCACCGCTATATACATTTGCGTGTGTGAAGGTGAAAGCTTATTACATGCTCTGATCAGATCGTGCTCGATTAGATCGTTATTCCTCCCATGTGGTCTATGATCTGCGAAGAGCTGATCGAAACCAAGTCATGAATGGTTGATTTATAACAGGACATCGACCAGCTATTGTACAAAGAACCACTTGAAAGCTGGCTAGGACGTAAAACGGCATGTTCCAACCTCACTAGGCTCCTGCAAAGCAATGCCCTTCACTAGATACAACTTATAGCCAATTGGACGTGTCATGGCTGCAGATGTCACTTTTGCCAGCTCCGGCATCGAAACAACCACCGCCACAACCTCCGAGATAGGTAATTGAGCCGCCAGGATTACACTTCCAGTAGGTGCTCCACCAGAGGCCCGGTGTGTTTGAAAGAACAGTTTCACCAGAGTTTCGGAGGCTTTGTTGAATAATGTCATGGTATCCTGCCATAGATCAGCATACTGGGCTGACCAAGGGACTGTTTCTGGGTGTCTCACCGCCATCGACCAAAGTACTTCCGCAGTAATTCAAGCCAGATACACATTGGCCAGCGCTTGCGGCATTGGCGAAGACGAGCAAGCTGGTAGCGAGGGTAAAGGTCAACTTCATAATGAGTGATGGATTGGATTTGTTAGGGTTTCCGGATCAAGTTGAGTAGATCAATGTCGAGGTCAGTTTAGAATGGATGCTGTGCTGTCCTGAATTTTACGAGCTCATGGAGGCATGGTGCCTGGTTATATAACTCATCTCATTTGGATCAGGGAAAGGAATTCTTCTATTTGATATTTGGAATACCTAACATTGTGGAAAAAGCAACGTCGAATCGATAGTTCGAACAGCTCCTAGAGAGTCAGGTGGCAACCTCTTGCCACTTCACTTGTGCGTAATTACACTATTGTTACTGTTTCTAACGAACCTTATCTGGTGCACACAGGCATAGGCGTAGTAAATAACACAGTGATAAATGTTGCTATTTGCACTGCTTTGTTCCCTTCGATCTTGCGCAACTGTTCCAGCAAACCTGAAATGATGAAGACACATACTTAGATGACCCTGACTCATTCGTAAATTAAGGCAATCAGTTACCATCAAGTGTAGACAAATAACGAAGTAAGGGTTGAATGCAGTATAATGACACCGGAATCAAGCTACAGACACGATAATGTCGATCATAGCGAACTCGTGGCAAAGGTATCAGTAGCTCTCCGGATTGAGAAATACCTGATACAGCTTAGTCTACAAAGAATTCGAGTATTATTCAGTTAAGGGGTGGGGCTGAGAGGGGTTTGCCAACCTATTCAAGGCAAACACCCGTGGTCATGAAGCAGGCAGCCCTGCAGATCCGGGGGTCAAAAGGATGGTCACATAGAGATACTGCGATTGACTTCCGGCCCGAGCTTACTCCGCTGGCTCCGCAGTAATGGGAGGGTAAAATTGGTTAGAAAACAGGGAGGGAATGTCAAGGCACTGCAGTAGTGGGATCTGAATCAGGGTTCGGTCAGTGATTTCAACTGCGGCTGAGATCGCCCCACGCCGATCAGCTGAAAACCAGCGATCGGGTTCACCCGAACACTTAAAACCCCACCTAGAGCTAAGAAAAAGAAAAGTCAGGCTTTATGATTAGTTTCCAATAGTCTCAAGCGTAGCGTTGCATGTCTTTCTCACACGGTCAACCTAGTTATGCGACCTGCTATTCTCCACACACCTCTCTTTCTCATCAACGACTCTAGTACGCATTCCTTCGAGACCAAACCCCGAGTAAAACACATTTTGTTGAGCTCTATGATCAGTGCCCCACTGAGCATCGTATTTCAGTACTACCACCTTCATATCTCGGATGAGTCGAAAACATCTTACAGTAGGTATTCTGTACCTTAAAGTGGCCCATCTCTCGCCAACCGGTATACACCACGCGGGAATAGAATGGCTATTATACTGGAGTTGATGCAAGATTGTACGTGCTAAAGCTCAGTCGCGGGCAATCACTCTTAGTGAAGCGTCTGATTCGATGCCTGATGGTGAGACCAAATGAAAGAAATCGAAACTCCAAGGACGGGACGTATCCCTGCGATGCATTGTGCACTGGCCAGTGAAACACACATTCGCCTTTTGTGGGACCTAGAAATAGAGGATCGGACATAGTAGCTATCAACTGCGTTGATGGAGAAAAGCAGTTTCTACGTTTGTTGCGGCCGATCAGCAACTTGCGATCTCGCCTTCTCTTCGTTATAGGCCATGGAAGTAATGGCCCCAGTTCCATAGCTCGTGACCCATAGCTCGTGACTATAATGATGGTATGCTTATTTGGGTATAGCAATATGCATGTTAACTGTGTACTTCCCCAGTCAAAGGCCAGATGATCTGTGTCTATTTCAAGTACTTCTCATCACAACCTTGGCAAAGGTGACAGATGGATGGAGGCGGGCGATCCATAACAGCATCACGACCCTCATGACCGGCTACAATATTACAGCGGCTACCGGCGAGAGATGAATTCGCTGGGGAACATAGGGAGGAATAGCCTGTAGATCTTACTAAGTTTATAGAAACAGACTAGTTCGCCAGAAATAATGGAGCACATTATCATGAGTATTCCAACTCTACGTTACGCAAAAGCGACCACATGACTGTGGTTGGGAACCCCAGCAACCGCGCTCAATCATTTATGTCCAACTTGCATAGAACTACTGAGCCTGACACGTCATGTTCTAAAAACAGTGTCCCTTCATTGTGACTCCTGATTAAACAGCTGATGCTACACACTGGTTCGAGTACTGAGTGCCTCCTTCCACCAATTATCCCCATTCGTCCGATACCACTGGACCGTGTCGGCTAGTCCTTCCTTGAAGCGGACGCTTTGAGACCATCCAAGCTCCTTGAGCCTGTCACCCTTGACAACATAGTCATTGTCGTTGTATGGTCTATCCGGTATCGAGTCAATGAATTCGTCGAAGTTCTTCTCTATATCATGTCCGAATTCTCTTAAAACTCCAGTTGCGACATCACGGACTGATACCTCATCTGATGAACTGACGTTGTAAACACCCCCAGGAACGCCCATATGAAGAACCAAATCATATGCAGCAATCACATCAGCAACATGAACGAAGTTTCTGGTGCGGTCGCCATTTCCTTGGATTGTCAATTTCTGGCCGTCTCTGGCAAGCAAAGCAAACTTGGGGATAAGCTCTGACATAACCGGTCAGTGTTAAGCATAATCGGCGGGGCAACCAGCCTTACTCTCCGGGAATTGACGGGGTCCGTATATGTTGTTACACCGTAAAATCATGCTGGGGATCCCAAAGCTCTTCTGGTAGGCCATTATGAACATCTCGGCTGCAGCTTTGCTAGCGGCATAAGGATTCGTAGGTTTCATACGCGTGTCTTCGTCCACACTAACTCCCCAGGTTTCCCCATACACCTCGTCAGTCGAGGCATATACAAATCTATGATCTATTAGCTAGAGATGAGCACTACCACTGAAGGGAATACCTTGTAATCTTTCCATGGGCATTCATTGCTTCCAGTAACCGGAACGTCGCACACACATTCATGTCCACGAAAGCAGCAGGATCGCTAAATGACTTCTGAACACTGGACTCTGCTGCAAAGTGTATGACACTGTCGATGTTGTACTCGTTTATAATCTTGATCAGGCGTTCCTTGTCATGTAGATTGCCTTGAACAAAGTGAAAGTTGGGTCTGTCTAGAACCGACTTTAGATTGTTCACGGTAGACACATTGCTCAGCTTATCAAGGCAGACAACGCTGTACTGGTCTCCATATTGATGAACAAGGTGATGGCACATCCAAGATCCAATGAATCCTGCTCCTCCAGTTACTAGGATATTCTTCACCTCACAACCTGGCCGGTTTGTGGGGCCTTTGGTCATAGGAGTGATTGTGGTGATAGTCATAGTGAAATAGTGGTTATAAGTTGGGAAGTACTCTCCGATGTTCAGAATATGACTATTTTCAGTGGAAGCACACTCACAGATTAGGGTGTCACAGGATAGATATATATGCTAGAACCGTGTTATTGCCACAGTGAGCTTCATCAATCCGAAGAACCACGCTTCCCGCAGCAGTGTGACATCCATATTCCCCGTGATAACTCGTTACTTCAGGTTATCTTTAACTTAATCCATGCATCCGCCTTGCAAAGGACATCATCTGGCCTATGAGCAAGGCGGAGGAGCTTTCGCAAGACGTCACTTATCATTCCAACATGAGACTTTGACATCATTACTTCCACTATTGCCTTAAACAATTGGAAGGTGAACTCTAATCTACTGGTTTTCGATGCCTTTATGAACTGGTGTGTAGCCTGTGCCGTATATCGCAAAATAATGTCTGTCTAAGATGTGAAAAGTCACAAGTTCCGGTGACGTATACTAATCCAGTTTCATCTGCAGAAATCTAGATTTGGTAAACTATATGACAAGTCAGGATATGTACGACGGAAAGATCGTGTGGCGTTATGACATATGGGATTCTATACATGTGAAACAAGTCCATTGAAACTAGGATGGCGATTCCAACCCCAGGCCACATCTATATAAGCATTGTGCGTCACTACTAGATATTTCCATGCATGGGAAAGAGGTCTACATCATTGAGTAGGGAACAGAACTTTCGCCGCTGCTAAACGCTAAAGGAGACTCTGTTTGATACAATGTCTACCGAAAGGGTTTACAGTATGGGTGGTCAAGCACCGACTAGAATTCTTCTATTTGGTAAGTGTTCTTCTCATCATGCCCCTCTACATCCTGTCTGACGTCTAAAGGCAACGGTTGGGTTTCCGGTCAAGTTCAGGATTACATAAGAGAAGGAAGTGATGAACTGGTTGTCTCCCAAGCACGAATAGAGAACCGAGAACAGGTTCTAAGGTCTGCCCTTCTGACCTCTTTTCAATTCGCTCTTCACTTTCTCATTTCGTGGCACGCAGTGAGCTTGCTAGAGTAAGACCGTCCCATGTTATCAATGCCGCAGGCAAACGCGGTGATCCCAACGTGGATTGGTGCGAATCACATAGAGAGGAAACAATCCGTTCCAACATACTTGGTGCAGTGAACCTGGCTGATTGCTGCTTCATCCACGACGTGCATCTCACCCATTTGGGGTCGGGATGTATCTACGATTACAATGAGGACCATCCCTGGGACGGTCCGGGCTATACCGAGGAGGATGAGCCAAACTTTACGAAAAGCTTCTATTCTAACACGAAGGTGTTATCTGAAAGGGTATGCTTGCAGCATCCTGCCATTTTGAGGAACCAATGCAGCTGATCCCGCCTTGGTAGGTTTTAAGGCACTACTCCAATGTGTTGATCCTCCGTATCCGCAACCCTATTGGCGCAGACTTGCACCCTAAAAACATGATTACCAAGCTTGCTTCGTACAAGAAGTTGATCAATGTCCCGAATGTAAGTCACAGCCACCCTTACCTCAGTTAGTACTGACAATGATCTAGTCAGGGAGCATTTTGCCCAGTCTGATTCCTGCCATGATCTTGCTCGCAAGTCATAACGAAACAGGAATATACAACTTTGTGAGTCCTTTCGATGAATTTTAGTTCCATGTCTAATTTAATGTAACGGATTAGACCAATCCTGGGCCGTTCACCCACAATGAGGTCATGGATCTGCTCAAGAAGCATATATGGCCCGAACTTCAATGGGAAACCTTTACAGAGGAAGAGCAAAGGAAGGTTCTTAAGGCTCCACGGTGCAACACAACTCTTGAT